GTACTCACTGCAATGAGTGAGAGTGCATTTTCTCGTTGACAAAAACATAGTCATGGACAGATAGACGGACAGAGATATGATGAGCACAATAGGGCATTTTTTCCATAAATAAGAAAATGAGCTAAAAATGTTTCGTTCACTGCAAATTTCTGCACATATTGCCATATTACTCACGAATGAAGGTGAAATTAAAAAAATTTTCACGTGCTAAACATCACAATTAGGTCCTAATGAATACGTGTACAAGTTTCATTGAGCTACGGTCATTACATTGGGAGATATTAACTGCTCACTGAATTTAGATATTTACAGTAAGACCGGCAGCATTTACGGTCTCAAATTTTTTCGAGACGTTTGTAACACGCGCATATTCCATTGATGATATTCAACTCACTGGAAAAATTTATACAAGAATCATTAGGTTGCAAGTCAGATCACACGCTTTAATAATAATCAATGGGAAATTTGTTTATACAATTTTCTTTTGCTAATAAATGACTTACAAATGACATGCGAGATTTATTTTTTCAGCAAGTTACAGGCTTGGATGGGCAGCTCAATGGCAAATGGTTTTTACTCATATGAACTGTGTAAGCCAAAGATTCCATTATCATGGATGTTGAGGTTAATTTCACGGCACTAAGACACTTCTAAATAAAAATGGTTAAAACCTAATGGCCCAATACTTAGTGAACGAGATTATTATGCACAAAAAATGTACTACATAGACCCGAGAAAAAGGTTTGAGTGCAATTTTTCATTGAATCATATCTGAAGTTTGGATATAATTTTTGGTTGCCTTGGATGACAGGTTACGAGTCTAATGATCAGCCATATAACTTGAGAACGCAGCGGTCGTCGGAAATAAATTCTATGACCTAAACACGTGCTGAAGGATTTAGTGAGTTCTTGTTCGTGATTTAATTATGATATGCTACCCAGTTGAAAGAATGCTCATCCACGTGCCTTGGGAAGAAACCCCCTATTGCGAAATTAAATACCATAAATAAAGTGCGCATATTCTATTTTTCATTTACTGCATCTGAATCTCGATACTTTAATTGTAAGCAGATCTGTTATGTATTGAAGGAGTTATGAATAGTTAGGTTGCTTAAAAATACGTTCATTCGTTTTAATTAAAAACTAATTAATGTAAAAATCTGTAATAATTCCTGCGGCAGCGTATCGATAATAAATATTCATAATCCAAAATTCAAGCAAATCTGTTCTCTATTGAAGGAATTATGAGTGTCTGGGTTGAGAAAAAATCATGTTTACCTATTGTTTTTAATTAAAAAATAATTTTTGTAAAAATCTGTATCAATTCCTGTGGCAGCGTATCAATAATATCTACTCACATATTAAAATTCAAGCAAATTCGTTTAGCATTGAAGGACTTACGAGTGTCTGGGTTGAGAAAAAAAATATGTTCATTGTTTTTAATTAAAAAATAATTTTTGTAAAAATCTGTATCAATTCCTGCAGCAGCGTATCGATAATATCTACTCACATATTAAAATTCAAGCAAATTTGTTCAGTATTGAAGGACTTTTGAGTATCTGGGTTGAGAAAAAAAAATGTTTATTGTTTTTGATTAAAAAATAAGTTTTGTAAAAATCTGTATTAATTCCTGCGGCAGCATTTCGATGTTTACTCATAACTCACATATTAAAATTCAAGCAAATTCCTTCAGTATTGATTATTGAAGGACTTATGAGTGGTTCAGTTGCGCGAATCCGCAGCCAGGACCGCAGGCGGGTCTGCAGAAGTGTCGATTCAGTGAAGAAATAGGCCCATGTCCTGTTGCCAATTCTTGTGCTTGTCGTGACTTGATTCACAAGGTTGATTTTTATGTTTAGATCATTTCATTTGTTGAAATTCACTCAGTGATGAATGATTCAGGAATGTGTTACTCTTAAATTTGCAGCACACACGTGAACAACAGAGGTGCACATCCGTAGTTTTAATTTCTTCCCATTGTAACTAACTGGTATTCTTGGATATGCCTGAGAGAATATGAAATTCGCGAATCCCATTTGTGAGTGGCTCACATTTGTCGAACAAATGCACGTAGCCATATGTTAAATAGAGTTGAGGCTTGATAATTCTGGTGATTGAGTATTTAAAACTGAGTAAGCAGTTCTGGATAAGAGTAAGGTGTGACCTCCGTATTTTAGGGAAATCTTGCATTTGTTTACGCACAATATTTACGGTGAGGTGAAGCGGTGAATTCATTAGTAAAGAAACCTAAGAAGGCACCACTGGTTTGAAAAATTAAACCATTAATGCGTTATCTGTAGGTGTTTGTTGTATATAAAGAATATAATGTACATAGACCTAAGGTTATCTCATTATTAACGACTAGTGTTTTCATTGTCAAGTTATTGAACTACTGAAGAAACCTATCGACTATCGACTGCATAAATCCTATCGACTATCGACTGGCATGCGGTTGTTCAACGACCAGATGACCTTGAGATAAATTTTACACCGACTCTTGTGCCACACTATGAGACCTGGCTCAAGTTCATTTTTGAGTCCTATAAGTTAATAATAAGTAGACCAGTAAAGTATCTTGGATACCAGAATTATCCTACATAAGAAATCTGTTAAAATCTTGAGTAAATGAGGAAATTAAAAATGAACTGATTCTAAAAAAATTCTGGTTTGTCACTATGCAGGTATTTACTTCAAACTTAATTTTTCTGTATTGCCAAATTTTATTACAGTGAAATTGGCAATTAAAATTGTATTTTATTCACCCAATGGGGTTCCCGGGGAAAAGAGAGTTATTTAACAATTTTTATCGCGTGAGGTCAAAATGACCTCCAGCAGTGTTTCTAGGTATTGCACGAGCAGCACGACTGTCGGACTGCGGTGCTTTTAAGTGTTCTAGTGTTAAACAAATAATCCTATTTCCAAAAAAAAATTTTTAATACAACTTCCATAAATTAATCATTGTAAATTTTCCAATTATTTATACTCACAATTTCCTTATACGAAACTATTTCACGAACGAAACACACCATACACCTTACCAGTTTGACGGTTCAACCCAAAAGACGAACAGAAACAGTCCATCGGACATCCGCATGCAATTCTTCCAGTTAGATGAAACCCTAGATTGAGATTTAACACCGCTTTTTCGGATCGGATTGGAAGAGCGACAATTTTCACTGCTACACTGAGCCATGAAGCTGATTTTATATGTGAATTCAACCATAGAAAGTTCTTCAATAGTCGAATATATCTTCATTAAATTCGTTGGCTAAATAAAATGTGTTGTACACTTTAACACACATAAATATTTTCAGCCGGAATATGAGTCCTGAGCGAGGAGTTTTATATTAGATGCGGACATAATATCAGCCACTAGGAGCACATAATTAGATGCGGTCCTTAGCTTCTCAATATTCAAAGTATAACAAATGAAGAAATCAGATATGATTATTTCAATAAATTTGAAACTGTGTCGACCCTTTTCGAACTTGCCTGAGCGTTTTTTGCTGTATAATTGCAGTAGTTATGATTGAGGCAGTTCGGAGAAGTGTCGATTCGGTAAATCTGAAGCAGAAATGTGCATAAAAATTACAAAACTCATTTCCTGTAAAGATTTCTGCAAAAACGATCACCTTAAATACGTAAATTATTTAAGAATTCACTTTTCAATGTAGGTTATTATGTGGCAAGAAGAATGCTCAGTCAACGCCGATCTAGAGGTCTTGACCATAGGTCAGCACGCACCCAATTCCAACGGATTATCTGTCATTTATTCCTCAATATTGATAATAGTACTGTGACAGTTCGATGCAAAAAAGGAAATTGTCTACTCAAGCAGGCATCTACAAGCAAAACGTTTACGTTTTTTGTTACCAGCTTCTCATTTTCCTTTTAATACATCATGGATAGATAATATCAATATATTAGTGTTAATTTGTACGAATTATATCGATGTGCCTCACGGTCGTCCTTTCATCAACAATAAATTTGCGAACGCGAGTGTTTTCTCGCGCCCTATCACTCCATTTCCTTTCACTACAACCCTAACACACGTAATACTATTTTTACAACACTTCTCTTTAACTTCACTTCTTGTTTGTCTGTCTGTCTGTTTGCTACAAATCTTGTAATCGAAATTTAACACACTTCTACTTATCCTATCGATCTGAAATTTTGCATACTTGTTGAAAGTTGGAGACAATGCATGAATCAAATGTCAAAATAAATGATTTTAAAAAGTAAAAAAAAATTTTTTTTTCAATATTAAAAAAATTAAAAAAATAATTTCGTCTGCTACAAATCTTTTAATCCATATATGACACAATTTGACCTGTCCAATTGATCTGAAATTTTGCACAATTTCATAAAGTCAGAGACAATGCATGAATCAATTGACAGAATAAATAATTTTGAAAATTTACAAAATTTTCATATCTTAAAAAAATTTACAAAATTTTGATATCTTAAAAATTTTTTTAAATATTTTTTTCAATATTTGAAAATAAAATTAGAAATTCATTGTACATGTGTAACATCCAAGACACTGGATTGTTCAGAAGTGTTGTCTTTAAAAAGTAATTTTTAAACGCAGATTATTAAGTAATGAAGTTAAAATTGTATTGGCTGAAATTGAAACTATGTAGCAACTCAAAATTGAATTAATTTTAAATTTAGATGGAAAATTTAGGGCGAACAATTTCTTACAAACTTCTCTTTTCTTTGATTATTTGATTACTTGTCATTCACTTAGTTTAGCAGATAATTTTTTTCAGCTATTTGCTAAAGACTCTATGCTTCAGGAAATAGTTCTTTCACTTGAAGACCTTTCTCCAATAGTTCTATGCTATCCTTTATCAATTGATTTACTCTACAATTTTTATGATTGATTTCATGTGTGTATATAATCTTGAAAGCAAGCTAGATTTGTTTGGTTATAAGTCACGGCTGCGTTCTTTGGAGCCGTCAAACAATTGGCGCTCGAGTCTGTCACTGCACCATCTCGTGCAGCGTCCAGTCCGACATAAGAGTGCAAACATTCACTGACATTCAGAATCTTGGGTAAGAATGCTAGATTGATAACCCGCATGAAATGCATATTTTAGGGCTGGTAATCAAACTGTAATGTATAATGTCCTTATTGATAAAGTAACATACTTTTTAGCGAAGGACGTTAGTGAAAGTTTTGAATGTTGAAACTTCGGGGATTGAATTATTGCGGTTGACGAGATCTCACAGTTGTCAGATAAATATGATAAAAATAAATCCGGAATAAATATAGTTTGCTCACATAAATCTGCACGGCTTAATTCTTGGACTTTTATTTAAAAGATCAATTGTGTGAAATAGTCGTTAACATAAAAAGATTTACCTACCGATAGCCGATGAATAGGTCTATGATTATACGGCTAACGTTGTGCTGAAAAAGTCGCAGATAATTATAATAAATTTTTTGCGTACAGATACCAGGTGTTATTGAACATATCACTTTCCAAATACTCTTAAATATGCAAGTCCGATGCTGAAATTAAACTCAATGATGAAAAGGATGACACAAAAACGTCATTTTCTTTTAATAACTAAACTATTATTCAATGGGATGATGTTATGTATAAGCAGAATCAAGATTCAGTTTTAAAACGTACTGAAGATAATTTCCTTCCGCTATTATACGCACTACTTCAAACGTCCATATTTCGTTTGTATTATTATGAATTATATTATTATTATACTTTTATGAGGACATTTACCATTTTATGCTGATGTATATCATAACGTAGGTACATATTCATTATATATACGTAGTCAGAAGCATTGAACTCCACAATGTACAATAAAAATAAAAGTTACACTGCACGCCTTATAAAATAATGCCACATATGCGCGAGTGTTTCAAGTGTGTTGGCCAGTTACGTCTGAGTACGGGCGCCACGAAGGTGGTTTGCGCCGGTGATTGCATGGTGATGCCAGTCTGTGGCTTGACTTTTCACCATGGATTGCTAATTTATTCGATATCAATAGCCTTCACCTTGTAAATAATTAAAGAATTACGCTTTCCGCCGTTGCTAAATTTGCTCATAATGCACAGGCGAAACTACTTTTATTTTTGAAGGCAACGCCACTTTTTCATTATATATGAACATCGACACCAAAATTATTTGTAAACAGAAGTGCACACAAAAACATGGCGCTCTCATGACCAATCACACAAGATTATTCATTTTGCTTAGAAGTAAATTCCAAATAATATTTGTACGAATTTTCCTCAAATTCTTCAAATTAACTTACGTATGGTTATGTTTGATTTAACTTACGTTAACTTAAGCGTATTTGCACTACAGCTTACAAGAGATATTCGATATTCAACTATTCAATTAGATAATTCATATTTAAATTGTTTAGTCTTAAATTTACTTGCTCATTGATATTTTTCTTTCTACATTTACCAGTTGTAACAAAACTCCATTGAAAAACAATAAGTGTTTCTCCAGTTGATAATTCTTCATGAAAGTCTTCGTCACAGCATGTGGTTGGTCGTTACACCGACGGTGGAGATGGTGGTGATGGTGACGTGGCTAGTGGCGGTTGTTGCATCCGTCGGGGGTTCGAAACGCTCACCCGGTGCTGAACCCTGCTGCCAGTCACACGATCAGCCTCATCCGCATGAACACTACGCGCCTCGATCCCAACCGATATATTGGCCATCTGTACGAGAACCACTTAATGTGGATGTATATCCTCAACGTGCACTGAGGCATTGGGCTCCTGTTCAACCTTATGCGAGAACAATCGAAAATCAGCTAGGTCCTGATAGGATGACCGAAGAGAACGAACGATGGGAGTTCCTGTCAGATTTGCGCACCCTCTTACGAGCCTTCTTTGCTATTGACATGAACGACCATTATTCGTGCAAAAATTGCGGTTTATCACCTCCTGTAAATTTCAAACCATTACAAACCTATCATTTTTACTCAGACGAAAAGATAAACAAATGTCAGTATAACTACGTAAAAAGTAAACTAGGCGGACGAAGAAACTGCTCCAACGCCCAGTTGACGACTGAGACGACCTTAGGAACCACATCTGAAGCATCACCCACACCACCTACCAGTCAAATATTTTCGTCGACCCAGTCAACATCTATAAATCTTAGCCCAAAGCTCAAAATAGAAAACTACTATACGGCTTTCACGCGGGAAATGCAATCAGGACTCTCTTCAGCATGTCTAAACAGTAATTTCACCGAGAATGAAAAGTGCATAAAAGTCTGTGACGCTTTTTATGGCGACGATTGGATTTTGGTCCTAGAGAGACCGATTAACAGCAGCACTACGTTCAACCTTCTATGGCAAGACTACAGGAGCGGTTTTGGTAACTTAACTTCCGGGTTTTGGTTGGGTCTGGAGTGTCTGAGTAATCTCACAAATGAGCACATATACGAACTTCTCGTCGAACTGACTGACGAACAAGGGTTCGTACGTCTGGCACATTATTCCGGCTTCTCCGTTGGCAATGAGTTACAGAAATACCAGCTCAGCCTTGCCGAGTGAGTACTATGGAAATTACAATGCAACTGTTCGTATATCACCACAATACCGGTGAGGAATTAAATGAATCTTGTAAGATAGTTTTCTCTATTTTTAAGAATACATCTATTTTCAGTAGCAGTACAAAATAAACAGCATCATTACGATTTGAATTATTTTGAAATTATTATTGTTATTATTTCTTACTCACAAGTAAATTCGAAGATATTTTGATGAGTACTCTACCCTCAGCTACCTGGGGGGCGCAGCTGGGGACGGACTGAGCGGTAGCCGGGGCGTCGCATTCACCACCCCGGACCGCGACCAAGATGACCTTCAAGACAAAAACTGCGCCCTCTTGTGAGTCAATAATCATTAAACTGAACAAAATTTAGTGTAAATAGGCGTGAACTTTACTGGCGAAGGAGAAACTGTTATCGCAATCTTTGGAAACTACTTTGTTCTTAAATTTCACTTTTTCCATTATTCTCAACTATGGTCATTCGTGTTCTTTGATAAAAGAAATCGCAATAAAAATTAATATAGTAGAGGGCAAGTTAACGTACTTCTACGCTAGTCTCTTATTGATTTTGGAGAATAAAGCTGTGACCTAAATAGACCTAAATCAATCATACATCAGGCCGTTATAAATTCATTAGGCCATCTTAATTAGGCCATCAGATCAGCTAGTTTTGCGGACAATTTACTCAATCCTCAACCTGTGAAGACGTTAAATGATGTTTGAATGTACCGTCGTAACTGCTACGTTATCATGAACTACCGAAACATTTCAACAGGTTTGGAGGCGGCTGGTGGTACAAGAATTGCCTAGAGGTCCGAAATCAAAACTTCCTCACCGGCTTTGTTGGGTCCACTGAAGAAAAGCCATCAGGTGTTCGCTGGTTCTCGATGGAACCGAAAATGAAAATTTTGAGTGTGAGGATGCTGATCAGAAAAAACAATGGGAGCAACGTAGCGACAGAGAACACTAACTCTGCCACCACAATTGCCAGCACCACTACCACTACCGCCCCTATTACCACGACCAACCTCACCACCCCCACCACCACCACCCCCACTATCACCACCCCAACTACCACCACCACTACCACCCCCACCACCACGTCTCCATCTAATGATACTTCAACCTTGAACCAAACTGTTACTCCCATTGCTGGAGTTTCGTTGGGACTAACGGGACTCCAGCCCGCGAAAAGCAATTCGTCCTTGAATCTTTTAGAAACTGGTAACCTTGACTCACAATTACGATTCTCGATTCGGAATTTGTCAGATGTGGCGATGTCGGTGTCACTGAAAGCAGAAATGGAAGCCGCGCGGAAAACTGTTGTAATGTTCTACAACGAGCGAACAGTCAAACTAGATGTTGTAAACCCCGAAGTTTGTCCATACCACATTAAGGGTAACGACAGAGTGTGCGGACTGTATGGAGATTCTAACTACGGGGGAAACTGGTTCGTGATCCAGAGGAGGGATGCAACAACCAGCAAATCCTTCAAACGTCCATGGAAAGATTATGTCGATGGATTTGGATCATGGGCGACTGGATACTGGATGGGACTGGATTGCATCCACGTGTTGACCAGAGACTTGCCCACGACTGAGCTGCTAATCGAACTCACCAATGCTGAGGGGGTCGTCGCTATTGCTCATTACATGGGATTTTCTTTGGCCCCATCCACTTCTCAGTATCAATTTCGCGTCAAACAGTGAGTAAATTCTTTTGATGAATGCACCTCATAAACGTTTCTTCTTTTACCGTATTTTTTCAAATATCCTCTAAAAAATTCAAATTTCGGCGACTTTATAACGATTGATTCCGTTTCCGTTGCAAAAGCCTTTTTCTACAAGATTTAGTGTCCTCGTAAAATAGATGTTTCACCTTTTCGCTCCTCAATTTATTATTAGAAGTAAGTTACATTGGTACACGTGTTATTTAAGATTTTTCAGTTTCCCTGAGTTAATCCTAAGAAGTAATGTGGAGTCTCAAATTACAGCAAGATCACTCAATAAATTAAATTAATTTGAACCGAAATTACGTAGATCTTCATCTCATTTAAAATGCCTAGGTCAAACTCGCTAATATAAAAAGTTCAAAACTCGTTTAAGTACAAATACAACCTCATTACACGTCGCGGCCGATTTCTCGTCTGTGATCGATGGGTTCCAACTAAAAAGCCGTCAGCAATTACGGCTTCATAATTACGAATTATCGTAAATATTTTTTATGTTACACCCACATGCAGGTTCCTGGGTGGTGCGGCGGGCAACGCCCTCGCCTCAACCGAAGCGTCCAAGTTCAGCACCATCGATCTCGACAACGACGCCTTCAGCGACGGAAACCTGGCCTCTATGTCGGTATTGTCATGGTGGCTATTAAAATTATCACAGCCCTAAAATAATTTAATATTAGAGCTCATTCTAAATGCTATGTGGTAGAATGAATATTTTGGGAGCAAGATTCCGCAAAAGACATTCTTCTAACGTAAACTCATTTGTCGTTTATGTTGTATTATAGATGATCTTCTTCAAACCTTTATTGCATATGATTAGAATGACAAGCTTTGGCTCCAGATTCACTGAGAATAAAGAAATTAAATTAATTTGAATTTCCACGTAAGTCACTCAGATCAAATTTTGATTTGCGCCTTTGTCTCAGTTTACTGGAATTGAAGCTATTCATTGATAACACATTCATTCCGATTTTAGAATGCAAATAATTTCATGCATCGTCATTTTCTTTCTAAATCAATCCAAGATGATGAATCATATTTAAATACAATATTCTCTCCTGCTCGTACGAACGTACAATTCTCTCACAATCTCAATTATGTTTCCTCTCAATCATTCTCTGAATTGAAACTGCCAAAAAAATCTTTCAAACCACCTTGCTGATGCTCAGCTCGGGAGGAGGCTGGTGGTTTGGTAATGGTAAGGCGGACAGTCCAGGGAACAACCTCAATGCCGACCGATTACTGGACAAACTTCAGTCTTCTACCAAGCTTCTCTGGCACACCTGGAACTCGAGTGCGCCGGTGGTACGCACCAAGATGTCCATCCGACACAAGCCCTCGGAGAACATGAAACTCTACGTGGCAGCTGTGTCTGTCTTCAGTGAGGAAACTGTCTTCTCGTCAACGCTAGAAGCAGTTTCTGTGATCAACCGAATTCCTCAACCAAAACTAACAGAATCCACTACCCGTGCTCCCGAGACTAACACTCAACTAGATAATTTAAGAGCTTGGGTAAAGCCGTTTGCTCAAACTGTATCGTTACAAGAATACGCACAGCTCTCAAGGTTAGCTTACGAAGCACAAATATCTGTTAGCAAGTACTACAACAGCTGGAAGTTCTCAACATCAGACGGACTTGGACCTTCAGTACCTCCTTACAATCTGCAAGTACGTGGGAAAGCCTGCGGTCGTTTTGGCGACTTGGCTTACGGGAAATTTTGGTTTATGGTGCTCAGGCGAGATAGAGCTACGGAGAAACAAACTTTTAATGTACCCTGGCAACAATACGTGAATGGATTCGGTAACTTGGCTGATGGTTATTGGCTGGGGCTCGAATGCCTGTATTTAATGACAAACTCGGCCATCAAGCCCACGGAACTTCTCATCGAACTCACCGACGCTGAAGGCACTGTGGCCATCTCCCACTACTCCGGAGTGTGGCTCGATGGACCTGAGGTCGACTACCAATTTCATGTGGAAAAGTACGTGCTAAATTTTCCAAGTTATAATGTTTTCACGTGTATATATTTTATCTTCTTAATCCGATTCCTAATCTATCATCCGTGTATATTGTAATATAATACAGGTAAAATATGGAAGTTATTTTATGTTTTTTCATCAATCTTATAGACACGAACATGAATTTAACACGCCTCGAAGACTTCCTTCTTTGTTTAGAGCCATTTTAATGATATGTAACAAGCATAAGGCAAAATAGGCATTTGATTATGCACGTGATAACCATTATGATCGCATAGAAAAATGTAATGCTGAATTAGCCCAATGTCAGACAAGAGATTCGTGCTTCTTGCAACGCTAGTCCACTATTACTTCACGCCTGTCACGTTGCGCAAATTATTTGGGCTCTGTCTATTTGGTCTGTGTGTGTCACTCCCTTTCCGCACTTGTCAAAAACACTGAAATTCGGACACGAAATGATTAGTGAATTGTCCTCCTTCATTTGAGGACCTGAAATTTGTGTTGTTGCCCCGAATTAAATAAAACATACTACATGAAGAAGCCCTAAATATATATGTATAGTGTGTTATCTCTGCATCACATTACTATGCAGTAACCGTCCCTAATTAATAATAATAATATAATAATAGCGGTTTCAGCGTTTATTAGGCCGTAGGCCTGTCACCGATTCTTAACATCGCAGAATATTCACAGCATTTTGAGGTCTCGAACTCGCAACGCACTGCTACAATTCTGCTGTTCTTAACCGCCCGGCCTCCTTGCCGATTCTGACCAGAAACCGACGCCCAGAGCTGGGATCGAACCCGCACCTCTCTAGTGCGTCAATCTTGGTACTCTGAACTTTAACCACTGTGCCACCCTGGGCCAACCACTGGGCCACCCTGGGCACAGTATTGAAGTTATAGTATTGAAATTAATACCGTTACGACCACAGGCTGCTTGGCGGGGCAGCGGGCGACGCGCTCTACGGCCTCAACGGTCGAAAGTTCACAACCGGCGACCGCGACAACGATGGACAGCCGGACATCAACTGCGCCCGCTTGTACGTCTTGCCGTTATCAACGTTGAATAATCTAATAATCAACAAGAAATACGTTGAATAATCTAATAATGTAACTTGGGTCTATATCATGATACTAATGTACTTATAATGGCAAACACGCATACACTAACCAAATACACAATACAATACACTAACCACAGCCCCAAATTAACCTCCCGGTATCGTGACATAGTGTGACTTCACCATGAACATTTCATCTGCTTGCGCAAGATATTCATTTTAGAACTAAATAAAGTGATCTTTGCCTGATTTATAACTTATCGTTACTTTTCCTCTCAAGGTTCTAACATTTATATGATGACACTCATAACAGCTAATCGACGGCCGCAGGTCGCAGGAAACTTGTGGCACCTAATGTTAGACCCTAGCTAGCCAGCATGATTCAATCTACTACGATTTACAATGATGTCTTTTAATGAATTTTCACATGTGGCAATGATTTTGTTTCTATAAATGTTCCATTGGATATATTTAGCCCTCTTAATTACATTTTAATGCTCTCACAAATTATTTTGTTATGCGTGTTTTCGGCCGCGTATTGTATTACAGACTGAGAGGTGGATGGTGGTACGACAGCTGCGGACCCTCCAGCACGGCCAACTTCCTGACGGGATTCTTCGCGCCCAGCAACCGAGGCCCTGGATGCTCCTGGCAGACTTGGCGATCAGCTGCTCCTATCGTCAGGGTTAAGATCCTTCTCAGATCTCCTTCCAGGCACTGGCTCTACGTCTAATACTACCCTTGATCTGACAATGAATATAAAGAGATCGGACTTTCAGCATCAATTTTACGCTATCAGGTTACGTCTACCATCACTGCCCCTAATCACGCCACATCACTTATGTCGCCGGCCTTCAAAAGAACCAATCTATTTTGTAAAAGATATCGAGTCACAACTTTCTTGTCCGATTGAAAATGTCTTTTAGTTATTATATGGCAATAGATACCTAAAAATCGTTTTCAGCGACGCACGCGAGGTGAGTGCAGTTTCTGAAAATTGACCACCTATATATGTGCGATTGATGGTAGATATCAGGACGATGAGTTAGATTTACTATTGATAATGGATTAAAGCATGCTGCATTAACTAATGTTGTAGTAAATATTACGATGAAATAAACCTGATCTATTTTAGGTTTTTTTAATGTTCATGAGATAGTAAAATCAATTAGTTCATCAGTTCCCATCAGTCGCCAAAATATCTTTTCCTGTATGAACCTGCAATTATAATCAGCAATGTGGATGTGCTGATCTTCTTTTGATCTGTGTTTGAAATTCTTGCGAGATCTTTAAACATGTTTGTGCCACCTAGAAAAAATCTATACAATAATTATGTATGTTTATTCAATAAAGGAATTTATTTCAATCTATCTTTATATTTCAGGATACTCTTCATTGCGATTGTCGTGCATGCGAATTGCCAATTGACATTGCAGATCCCAAGCAAAGAAGTTACGATCCGCAGTCATCCTAGAACGCACTAGAAATCCTGCGAATATCTCATGAAATTCGTAGATATCTTGTCCCATGAATTCAATTTCATCATTCACGTCAGATATTAGTATTCATGAATTTAGTAATTCCGTTTGCTGGCACCGGAATTATTATTATCATTGACTCACAAGATGTCTGAATACTAATTTCCTAGTCCACGGTTAAGTTGATGCGCCGTCTTGGTCGTCCTCCGTCTCCAAGTTGTCGGCAGGTCACCCGGCCCTCTGGTCCCGGAGATGACGTTGAACGTGTTCCGTTTAGCTGTCGAGTTTGGGCCAGCTGATGCAAGATGCTGTTGCTTGTCACTTGCTGAAGGTAGTTTCCTCTGATGCGTTTCAAGATGTGATGTAACATTCTGGTCTTTGCCAGCTCTGTATCTCATTACTTCGAAACTTGGTGCCGATGAATTGCATGTTGTTCAATAAGGCCTAATTGAAGATTGTCGACAAGTCATCCTGTAGCCTCTCGCAGTCTAAGTCGTCTGTGATCCTCATCAGCACTATTGCATTGTCCACAGAGGACGATGTAGATGACGACGAAGCTGATTGGCTTGTGCGTCACGGTAATTCTCAGCTCGAATATATTCATAGTCATGGACTCGAATAATGTCGCCTGCATTCGTTGATTTACATATGCTGACTAATTATTCACAAAATTCATGATTCGTATCTTTGCCAGCAAGTAAGATCCTGGCCGCTGCCAGATAGGCCCTTTGCCGGTCAAATTCGTAGAGTTTGGCATTTTCTCAGTCGAATTGGCCGGCGAGTATATCTGTAAGCCCTAGACCCAAATATAATTTCAAAGTTTACAATATCTAAAAAATTGAATCGTTATACCGAAAATTTCAAATTTACATATAATATTGGATTAGCAACTGTGTAAGCCTTTATGAAACTTGTTTCGCCGTTTTTTCTTGCCAAAATCTGTCAACCCCGAGTGCGGATTGCGTCGTCTGCATGTTAATGCTTTTGGCAGAAAATGAGAGTTTTTAACACTGAAATTTAATTATGACGCAATCAAAATTATTTTATTAGTAAGTATCATAACCTAAGTATACATCATTGTGTTTATTAAAGGATTAACGATTTGAAAGTCAATTCTAAATAAAATAAAATTCAAGATAAATAATAATTTACGTATTCGTATAATAATATTAAGTGTATTCGTATAAACAAATAAAAGATACGCCCAACATACAGAACAAAAAACACGAATAAATATATATTTTTTATATCTTTTAGTTTATTCTCTTATATCTTAAGGTCACAAAACAAAGAGAGATTTCGGTCTGCTGATGCGAGTTTGCGATCACAACATTTGAAGGAGTAGCGAGTAGGTCCTTTGTCAACTGAGGAACAGCCAGGCCGTCACCCTGTGTTGAAACCATCAAATGTCAACAGAACGAGCATATTCGACTCGAGCTAGATGTATAAAAAGTATTCAGCCACAAATAAAATAATCGATGGACATTGCCTTAGTATACGCTATTACAGAATGTTTACACGTTCGTATAAGTCTTCTTGAATACTCAAGAGCACAGTACGACTACCAACAACACGGTAAGACTGTCAACTTCAGCACGACAGTATACAAGCAAGTACACGGTCCAACTGTCAACTTCAGAACGACAGTACAAGCAGCATTACTAATGTATTACAGGTAGTATTGATGATACCATCCACATCTTACCATTCGCATTTTCTATATACGGTTGTGGTTAAAAAAATTATCGGTAGCGATTATTTCTAATAGGTAATGCCCACGGAATCATGCCCGGTTAATTAAAAACTACACCATCAACGCTTACCCTCTCCCTCCTTGCCCATGAAACGTCGACGGAACACTGGATTTCCAACTGAATTCAACACACATCGTACAATGTTAACATCAAACTTAGAAGAATTAAGTAGATAACATAACAAAGTATTGATTTAACAATATCCAACGCGTTTTATTACGCGAGGTGCAGAAATCCGCTTAAATTACATACATAACTCTTCGTAAATACAACACTCATATACAACTTAATTGTAGCCTTGTATAATATAAACTTGTATAATATTTATTAATGCCACTTATTAATTCAGGAAAATTTCCTCAACACTCATAAGCTATTTAAGAGGTTTTTCTGGGTTTTCTTGTGTACACTAAAACATTTTTTTACTCAGACATATGTTCTCTTTGTCAATAATCAACTAGCTCGTATTCATTCTAGTTCAAGAGAAATGATGCGCTGGCGGCCCTTGCCACGACCACGTCTAGGTCCTGGAAGGCCAAAAAGGCCCGCAGGTTTGCTGGCAGTCCGGCCTGTGCGGCCACCTCTGGGAGGAGGGCGGCGCCAAAACATCGGGTCAGACTCAGACGGCACAATGATGTCAGACGGAGAGGTGATTCTGCAAGACGAAACGACGATAAACGCTCATAAAACTAAGATAAACGCTCATAAAACTACGATAAACGCTCATAAAAATACGATAAACGCTCATAAAACTAAGATAAACACTCGTAAAACCACGATAAATGTTCATAAAACTAAGATAAACATTTGTAAAACCACGATAAATGTTCATAAAACTAAGATAACCGCTCATAAAACCACGATAAATGTTCATAAAACTTAGATAAACGTTCATAAAAGTAAGATAAACGTTCATAAAACTACGAAAAACGCTCATAAAACGATAAGCGCTCATAAAACTAAGATAAACGCTCATAAAACAAAGATAAACGCTCATAAAACAACGATAAACGCACATAAAACTAAGATAAATGCTCATAAAACTACGATGAACGCTTACAAAATACGATAAACGCTCATAAAAATACGAAAAACGCCCTTAAAATTACGATAAACGCCCCTAAAACAGACATACACAAGCTGCACTATAATGTCAACAGGAGAGTTGATGCTGCGAGACGAAACATAACATAACATAACATAATGATGTCGGCGCTGAAATGTAGGCCTGATGTGGCCTGTCGCCGATTCTTTTCCTTTTCGTGCCTTGTTCATAGATCTAAACTCGTGTCATTTGACCGGATATTTTCATGACTGGCGATAGTTTGAAGAAGCTACTAGACTTCCACCGGGTTCGATAAGGAGCTAGGCATTTCAAATCTGAACATATATTTTTCCATAGCTTTATCTAGTCTGTTCTTGAACGCGTTCTTGAAACGACAATAATCGCTCATAAACTACCATGGAATAACAATTAAACTCATCGGTAGGTCATCCTTCTACGGGAAACTCTTAAGAGAGCACAGATTCATAAATCAATGTCTTTTTCATTTAAGAATAGATGGCTTAAGTTCAACACGATGAGATGCATTAAATAAAATATATAAATATATACACTAAATGTTCTTTTAAAAGTTTGAAAAAATCTAGCACAAATCGATCTGCAACCCCTTGTCTAAACTGACATTTAGTAAACACAGGTTAAATACGAAATTTTTGAAAGATAATAATATATTCGACAGTTAATAAGAAATACAAATGCACCATAAAAATAGGATGTATGGACAGTTTAAAAAATATATACAGCAGGCCGACTTTCAATATCCTGTTACAATTCATGCAATGCATATAAGGAAAAGAAACGGGAACAATTCGTTATTGAAGATTAATGGCCACACTACCATTCTTCAGCATCATGTCCCAGTTGACCTGAGGAATAAAATAAATCCAGCAAAATATCTAACTTTTATACAAGTAAAATACACCTACTAATTTTTGTTGAAAAAAACACATTTTTTGAAAAAATACACATTTTTGGAAGATTTACGGCCTTCCAACCTTGAGCCTCCTGAAGTGCGAGCCTCGCTGGGGATAACGATCTTTGGAGGTCCTCAGGCAGGTCCTCTGTGCGGTCCAAGGTCCCTCCGAACTCCCGGTACACCCACACGAACTCGGGCATGTCGCTGAAGAAGGTTAGGCGATTACTGGCGTGTTTAAAGGTGTAATTACGGTGGGATTACTGGTGTAATTACAGGTGTGATTACTGGTGTAATTACATCTGCGATTACAGGTGTGTACTGGTGGACTAATAGGATTGTCACGTCATCAACCTCAATTTATGCCTTTCTTCCAGCTCACGAAGCATAACGCCTTCCCTTTAGCCCATCTGGCATAGCGCATACCTTCGCATACCATGGCGCTTCACTTCCTACCCACTTGGCCTGACGTTTTATCGTCCACTCTCCAGCCCACCTAGAGGGTTGGAAGGAAGACCCTCGAGCAAACAAGCACAACGCTGCCCCTCCATCGTACCTGGTACGATGCAACCCCTACAGCCAACCTGGCATGGCGTAGTGCTGTCCGTATGATGGACAGCCTCTTGAGGACGCTAGCGTCGATAGTCTCACGGTCGCCCCAGACGCCTGTCAAGGTCGGTTTAGCGCCGCCCTTGAGCAGCGCGAGGAAGCAGGCTAGGTGGCGGTATACTACGCTGTGCTGCAGCGGCCATCCTGGCGTGCAGGTCGTGTGCGGGAACACCAGCTGAGAATCGGCCCCCGCAGCCATCAGCGACTGCGAGGACAAGAATTTTATAGTAATCATGGATGTGCGTAATATATAGTTGATATTATAATTTAAACTTGGACGCTAGTTCGAAGTTCAGTTCAATAGTTAAAAAATGAGAAATCTGACTGATTTTTTTTGTCCAAAATATGCCCACTACATAAACAAATAAAGAAACGCTATAGGCTCTAATCCAATAGGATTATTTAGATTACCTTCCAAAAAAGATTGAGGAACTCATGACTTCCACTTAATAGGTAAGTTATTTGAACATTTGTTTGTTTCGTATACGAAAATTTCTTTAACTTTGAATCATTGCAAATTCAGCATCTACTCCATCATGATTCAACATCTACTCCTAAATCGAAGCCGTTTTCGTAGTGGACACCATCATCATGACTCACTTTCGTTGTATGACTGAATTTATTTCCGAAGTGAATAAAATGTGGCTTAATCTGTTCATTTTTTCACTAAAGGCGACGGCAACAATCGTTTGTGGTTTCGGGTCGGGCGCTGGACTTGCTTATATTCTCTTAGTGACAATGAATTGGAATTTTTGCCCGGGAATGTGGTTGTCAAAATCGCAATTCAATGAAACAATGCACAATATACAACAATTTTATGTACAATTAATGGATTTAATAATTTTATATGTATTCATTAATGAACCTGAACAGCCGGCAGACAGCCTTCCCTGACGGCGAGTAGCAGCGGCGTGCAGCTGTTGCAGCGACTGCCGTCTGGGTCAGCGCCCGCCTCCAGCAGCAGCTATGAGGGGTTACAGGTGCAGGAATCGGTTAGGTTTTGGCGGTATTTTCTTCAATCTCAAATTATATTTTCCTTCTACCTCCAGCTAGAACCAAATATTTATTTCACATGCACTACATGCTTCTAACAATGGATTTCGTCACGATATGCATGTGAAAAGATTGATTTCGTCTCTGTTACACCACTTAAAGTTATAACATAACATAACATAGTGATGTCGGCTCTGAAGTGTAGGCCTGATGTGGCCTGTCGCCGATTCTTTTCCATTTCGTGCCTTGTTTATAGAATCTAAACTCGTGTCATTTGACCGGATCTTTTCATGACTGGCGATAGTTTGAAGAAGCTACTAGACTTCCACCGGGTTCGATAAGGAAAGACTTTTCAATCATTACTCTCTCGTTGCAACCATGTCTTCTCATACTGTAATCTTGCTGTTCATTGTTCTTCCCGAGGTGAAGTACCTTACACTTGTCAGCATTAAACCGCAGCTGCCACGTATCAGCCCAGTTAACTAAGCTGTCAAGATCATCTTGCAATTGCGCTTTATTTGACGCATTCTTTATTTGACGCATTCTTATCCCCCTGATATGAAACAAAATTATTCGCTGTCCTTTTTTTACATTACAGTTTGCTTTTATTTTTCTGTCAAATAATTTGATGCGCAACTCATCAATCCTCATTTGAGGATAACCGCATTTTTTTAGTACGGGAATTGGTCTCACAAGAAGATTACCCTTCAGGACGTCCATAGGCAAATCCTGCTCCATTTGGAGCGAAAGTCAATCATATATAAATAATAATTAGTATAGATTATAGTACGTCACTACATTAGACCTATAGGCTGTAGTGCTGGGGAGAAAGTTAGTGTGTACAAATTTGGACATCACTAAAACCTTCAAGATGTGGTGATGGCTGAGGGACGCTGCCACGAAGAGGGGCGTCTGTCCCTTGACGTCCACTGCGTCCACGTCAGCGCCCGCCTCCAGCAGCACCTTCACGCAAGCGGTGTTGCCACCTGTGAGGGCAGAGAGGGTAATCAGGAGAGAAGGGTAATAAAAAAGATTCGCTTTCAGGTGATTCGGAATAATACTCTTTGGGTAGTCAAGAAAATTACCCTTCTGGTGATCATAAATGTAACCCTTTGGGCAATAAGGAATATTAAACTTTGTGCATTCAGGAAGATTACCCTTAGAGTATGCAAAAAGATTGCCCATTGGATAAGCAGGCGAGATGAGTAAGATCAAAGACTCGTATTAAAAACATGGTAAATTAAGATGATGACAACATGAAGATCACGATAATCAAAGACGGTTGATAACCGGCAACAGCGACGGTTGAAAATCCCATACAGGTAATTGCCAGCCATTATAACGGGGATTAGAAACTAAATAAAATTTAAATCTTACTACTGGAAGTACCAATTTTCATGAACCAGAAATTATATCGTGAAATTATACCAGCTAGCAACATACTAACACTCACCAACAACGGCCTCCCTCAGCGGCGTGGCCATGAGCGGTCTTGTTCTGGCAATAATGCATTTCGCCCTGAGATTTTCATCCTTCAGGAGATTCCTCAGTGACTCTGTCTGCCCTGCACGAGCGGCCTCGTGTAGCCGCGTGTCATGCGAAGACCCATCATCGCAGGTAATCGCCCGCAGCCGCAACAAGGGCGCACTACCCGCTGGGGTAGGCGCTAACATACGTGTCAAGCTAGAGCCCGAGAAAAGAGTGGGAGGCAGAGGAGGAGGAGGAGGAGGCACCGACTGTACTCTTCCACCAGCTTCATCATCAGAAATGGCTTCCACGATGTTATTGTTGCGTTGGTCATCAAGAGATTCAGCTGATGGTGGTTCATCGTCTGGAGCTAGTTGTACTCCACAGGTACAGCAGTGTACCGAGTACAAAGGCCTGACGACCACCACACTGTCGTCACACGTACACATGATCTCCGGGGACATACACTCATCGTCGCCACATTCTTCACAGTGCACACACACCGGCATAGACTCTTCAGTTTCATCAAAGGCTTTCATCTCTTCGTAGCTCTCGCAAGTGCACCAGCAGTTACAGACCGACGCGTGGCAGCAAGCAAGTTCTCCTTCACACCCAACCGCGTTTCGATATTCAGAGCTGCTAGATTGTCCGGCCGTGACCGAAGCCTCGTCTTTGTCTGACGATTCACGGATAAATTTATCTAATTGTGCCCTGAATGCTATGAAGTTGTTTGTACATTCACAAGCGAAACTGCTTGACTGTTCAGGTATTTTATAATCGCCATCGAAACTTTTTGACTGAACCGCCGATATCGCATATCCATCGTCGGAAATAGTTAGTTGTTCAACAGACATTGTATCGGTATCAGTTGATGCCTCCATCTCATAATCGAGTCGCTCTACCATGGGTGATGGACCTGATACGTTAGTCAATTCAGAACTACCCAATTGATCTCCAATGGGTAGATGACAATATTCTCGTCGAACTTCATCAGAAGATTGTTGAGCGGTACCAAGCGTACCTGTTGAGATATGTTGGCTACCTGATGGATCGTTGGCCATAGCATCCATACCTATTCTTTGAAATTCCTGATTTGATAGTTGGGCTACCGATGAGCTTTGTACGCTCCTTCCATGTTCTGGTAATGGCTGCTCAGATGGAACTTTTATCTTGGAATCAACAGCTGGTGTCTGCATTGCGGCGTCTGCTTCGGCCATGTCGTAATGCCTCATTACGGAATGCCACAATAAATCTAGTTAGACTAGCGCAACTAACACTGATAGATCAAAATCCTGCAAGAGACTCAATTGTTTTAAGATATTATACGTACATAGCTTACTTACGAATGGTTAGAAATTACATTAATAATGAATTGCTTAACTTCTCTGAGAATCTCGAATCTGATGGTTTTAATGCAGCACTGGTTTGGTGCTGCATGCTGCGCGGCGTGCAGTATTAATGCTGCGTAGCATGCTCAGCTACTTCGGTGCTGCATGCTGCCGCATTTGCCGCTGCTGCACGCATTCAGAAATAGCAGCAGCACTTGGCAACCGCTAGCATTCAGCATACCTACTCCATTCCCTCACCCGGGCCCAAAAGTTCAAGTTATTCCTTTAATTTTTCCTCGTATGTAAGTAAGGCTGATCATGTACACACACGCTCATTAATGAAATACACATTTTTGCCTCTAATTTTAAAGCATACTTCATACATCTTTACTTACTTCCTAGCACGGCCACATATAGGAAACATATTGCAATGTATTCACCCAACGCGTCCACGTAAGGGAAACGTATGGTCATGTTGGTACCCATCATGGCCACATGTAGGAAAAATATAGTACCATTACTATACATATGATATAACTTATCTGATGGGGCGACTCTTTGGTTATAGAAAGAAGTCGTCTGAATCCTTAGTTAGGTGACTTCCTAAACTTCAGCTTCGAGAAACACGCTGAAGTAGTCTTTTAGCTGAAGTAGTGATGAGTAAGATTGGAAGAAAAATATTTATTTGAGATTACGAGTAAATATTCGGCAATGCGAGATTGTACGGTTATATAGTGCTCGGAAAATATTTATTTTGATTCGGGTTTGAAATAGGTGAGCGGATTAACCCAATATCACAATATAGAGCAGCGGATTAACCCGAAATTACCATATTGACTAGCGGATTAACAACCCGTTACCATGAAGTTCAGCAGAATAATCAGATATAACAATATAGATCTATAGAACATATGCGGTATTTTTTATGACACTTAACTCAAATTAAGACATAATCGTGAACGTACTCTTTTTCAATTCATATGATATAATACTTCATGTAATACTTTATTAAAACACAAATTTTTCAGTTGCAAAAACATCAGTCTAGACTCAAAGAAATGAGTGTAACGATGTCCAAACAGCGCCCTTTTTTTCGTGTATCTATCTGCAATCAGTGCCCATGCCTCTCTCAGCGTGTGTTGGGGATAATAATATGCGTTTAAAAATTACTTTTTCAAGACAACACTTCATAAGAGGCCTGTGTCTCCGATTTTCACATGTACAATGAATTTCTCATTTTGTTTTAAATATTAACAAAAGTATTTCAAATTATTTTTGTAATATTAAAAAATTAAATTTTTAATCATTTATTCTGCCAATTGATTCATGCCTTGTCTCCGAGTTTACGCTAGTGTGCAATATTTCAAATCGATTAGACTGCTAGAAGTGTGTTAAATATTGATTATAAGATATGTAGCAGACAACAAGAAGTGAAGTTAAAGAAAAGTGTTGTAAAAAGTGTCACAAGTTGACAATAAGGCTCATTCATTTCTGTGAGTGCACTTTTAGTTTTAGTGGTTCACCATGCAACCGTGTATTAAGCTACGCGGTACGGAGTGTAGCGGCTACAGCACATATCTCTGCCATACGTTACATGAGCCTGCCGGCAGGGTACATACCCTCACATGTCCATGACCCTCTCGTGTCTATGACCCTCACGTGTCTATGACCCTCACGAGCCCACGATCAACTGCGGCGCATCTTCGTCATGGGTCTTCCCTCCCGAGGGCCAGTAATAGACATTGGGCAGCTGGCACCCCGCCCGACCCTCAACACAGCATGCAGCACCCCGCCCGACTCTTGGCACTACAGGCAGCACCCCGCCCGACTCTCGGCTCGACCCTACATGGATATCTATCTAGGATAGGTTAGATGCTTGTTACTGATTCGCTCGCCCAAATATTTTTTCGGCTTTTGCTTCTATACTTCCTTCATATACTTTATATGAAGGATTTTCACATACTTCATATACTTTTATCTTCAAAAATTCATAACTATGAAGAAAATGAAAATATGAAAACGTTTGCTTGTGCGTACTTCATAGCATCGACATCTTAACTTGTGTTAACGTAACCTCAGCTACCCATTTCAAGAAACGGCGGTTCGTTACCATCATTTGTAAAATGAAAGATAAGATTCCAAACTATTGGTGAATTAATTTTTTCAATCGTAGAGCGTCAAAGTGGATGGTTTCTTACTGGGGTCTCGCTAGATCTTTATACTTGAAGTGTATTCTTCATCGGTATCCCTCCTAATAGGCGAAGTAAAAACCGATCTTCTTTTTTAAGGTCTTGTTATCAGTATGGTACGATAAATACCTCATTCTTTCGTATAATTTTTTCACAGAAGCATCATTTCAACCTTGTAATAAGTGTCTCATTTATTATTATGGTAGATTGGGTCTTTCGTACCTTGATGTTCGAATAAATCAAAAGATCTAAATCGAAGCTATGGTAAAGCAAGGAGGATGTGTGTGGGAAAGCTCGCTAAATATTAGATTTTCCCGCTAAAATTGTCACGTTAGGTTAAGCGCGCTGGAATCTGAGTTCACTGCTTGTCGAGCCCTGAAGACACGCGCGTCTTGTACGCTCTTCGTTTCCAGTCAGCGTTGCTTTGCTGTACTGCGGTTTGCACCCTGCGTCATGTGAATTAATACTGGTATTTTTCGCAACTGTTGTCTTAGCCATACTATACTGACTTGTGAGTTGTGTTTAATTGGTTTAGGTGGGGCGCAATTATGGATGTGAATTAGATGTAAGTTGTTGGCCTCTAAAGTCTAAAGTCTGACTAAACGGTTTCCGTTTACCAGCTAGTCATTTCGCTAGCCAGTCATGGTTTTCTATTAGTTTATATTTTGTCAGCACCACAACAGTCTGCTCGCTATAACTCCCTAGCGCGGCAGTACCTGTAGCCTGATGCTGACTGTCACTTTTATTCAAGGTACGCCGGTAGGACTGCGAGGTTTTCCTGACCAGTTCACCTCCGGAGCCTTTGCATAGTTCTACCGGTAGTTGTGACTAGAGATTGGCAGCACAACGTGCCTGCTTCAATCGTGGGCTGATTCACCACGTCACCGTCAGGGGCCACTTCAACCTCGGGAATCTTAAACTTGCTTTAAGTTGAGTGGGGCACGTATGCGTGCTTCCATACCGTGTGTTGGTGTGCGAGCTCGTGAGAAGCCGACTAGGACAGTAGACTATTTAGTTTAGCATTCACTGTCACATGTAATCCAGCCTAGTATCCACTGTCCTTTCGTTTCTAATTTAGTTGATTGATAGTTTCTTTGACACATTCAGGTGTCTAATCTTAAGCAAGCAAGTTACAAGCTCGTTAACTCCCTAAATTATTGTTAATTCTATCCTTAATTATACTTGTTAAAGAAAAATAAATAGTCTTCGTCATTGTCCTTCCTTCCGACTAAGGCCTTAGAGGTTGCCCTGACAGGATGCTTTATTCCAAAATTATACAGAATGAGAATATTGTTTATTGAATTGAATATGCATTTTACGGGGGAACCATTAATCAAGGCACAATTAAAATTTTCATTCATTTTTATTTGTACAAAAACCTCAGTAGTATTTACACTTCCACTTTGACTGAATCCATACAACGTATATATCTGTCAACCTATTCTGGGAGCATTTTGTCTAAATAATATCGACGACATGTCAACAAAACATACGGTAATCACAATCTAAAAAAATACATAATAATTTACGATAAGAAAATCAGAACTCGAATTTTCAAAACTATTTTTTTCTTTCCATGGGAAGATATTGCTGTTTTTCTGTGCAACTTCTTCTTCTGCAAGGATTTGCAACTTCTTTTACATATTCTATAGATAAACTACTTCACCAGCCGCCATTTCACGCGTTTTTTCGATAACAAAATTATAAATAATCCATGAACAATACACAAGAAAATGCAAGGCAAATACCATCAAATTTACACCACTGACGACATCAACATGGCGTGTTTGAAGCATTCCGACATTTATTATGTAGAGAGCCAAGTTAGGATCCCCAGCAGGCATCTGACGTTGAAATAACGTTGATTGAACTCTTAATCAACGTCGTTTCCACGTCATTTGCCTGGAGAGGAAGGGTGGAATAGGTTATAGATGTAGTCAAGGTGAGATTGACTTGAATCACCGAAACAAACTCAGTGTATAAAAGAACTGTTATATCCACTATATAACACAACTATTATATAATATTGAGGGTGAAGTTGCCTTGAGCTTTAGGACATCATTTTTGACTATTATTACTGAAGGTAAAAATTTTTAATCCAGCACGAGGTCGCAGCTAAGTGAAAGTCTCTGGTAGGCTGGGCTGCGTCCAGGTAAGCTTTGCAGTCAGCAGAGCGTCGGTGTCCAGAGCATCCAGCAGCTGCACCTGCAATTAAGCGGTTGTGATATACCTTTAATATTACTGCCATCTACACCCGCAGTTACTGCCCTAAACACTTACAGTTACTGCAGTCAACACCTGCAGTAACTGCTTTGAAGGGGCTTGAATATATCGACGATAATGTGAAGGGGCATGAAGGGAAGGTTATGCAGATCATGTGGAGGGGGCATGAAGGGAAGGTTATGCAGATCATTTGAAGGGGCATGAAGGGAAGGTTATGCAGATCATATGGAACGGGGCGTGAATGAAGGGTGATGGAGGTCATATGAAATGTATCTACAGCTTGCATTGTTATAAACTTGATAAACTTGAAATATTATGCATCATTTACTAAAAATTTGGTACGGTAATGGGAGTTCAGTAAAAATTGTTGTGAACCTGATGTCAGTGACTTGGTGAAACTCGCTAAATACACACAGCAGCATATATCTCATGAGTGATTTGTGAGTTTAGTTATAAAAGCCACTATTGATTTTCTAAAACAGTTACAAACTGATACGTATTTTTTATATTGCGGCCCTGGGACCCACGTCACTACCTGCTGCCTGATGTAGCTGACGAGGGACTCCAGGCAGCGAGGATCAGCCTGAGGCTCAGCAATGTTTTCCAGCACCTTACTCGTCTGGGTGTCTTGTTCTTCCCCAGCCTCATTATCTCTGTTGGGGAATAAACAGTTAACAAAAATATGAAAAATTGCTTAAATAATTAATGAGCAACTTTCTGCTTCATTAGGACAGGTTAATTAGGAAATTATAAATACCAGTGAAAAAAACAGGGGTAAATTCAAATATCACTTAGACTGGGAATTAGATGAAATGATTTTAAAGAAACGCAATTTACTTATTTTGTGTTGTTTGGTTTTTATATTATTTTACTTATAATTTGAACATGGGTCCCTATATTCTAACATCAGGTCTTGCCACTCACAGCATGATTTAAAATTAAAATAACAATCCTTACGTACTTTTAATCTCAAATTTACAGAGTTCATGTAATCCATCCTAAAAAGTATATATTTTATATATACTACAATATGAAAGTATGTTTTAGATTCTCACATTAAACGTCTCACAAGTCTCCGCCACACGGCTCCTGCCAGGTCTCGGTCGCTCCCAAGCAGACCCTCATCATAGCTCACAAGTGATGTCTGTAAGTGCGAGTTCATATCTTCTAGGTCAGCTCTCTTGCTGGTAGACCGCACCTGAGGCATAAATTCTATTATATCAAATCTTTTCCACAAATCAAAGACCAAAAATTCAGTTCATATTAGGTAACTAAAATTTAAACTTTTTGATTCTTTGAATCAATTTCAACTATTTAAAATTTTTTCATTATATTAAACTTAGCTACTTGGGTCACTATTTCAATAAATTTATTTTTACCTTTTAAATCACAACATGAGAAAAAAAACATTTTCATGATTACATCTAAATACTGATTCTTCAAATTTCATCATAGTCATAAACTATCAATATTCAACATTTTGTGAAGATCAGATGAAACAAGGAGGTTTTAAAATGAAAATTCAAATTATTGTGATGATTGTCCCCAACAATAATACTAAAATTATCCAATTGTTCCCAAAAGTCTTATAACTTTCAACCTCAATATTATAACTTATGTCTACCAAAAGTTAAGCAAGCAACTGACACCCAAATCCTTGATTTTGGCATTAGTGTCATCCCATAGTGCAGAGATGAGGGCATTTCTTGCTGTCTTGCCATCCTCTCCCTCAGCCATTAGCCTCACTGAGACTAGCCACACCTGCAGCTCCATGACCAGGAACCAGGAGAATAATGTGTCTTGAAGAGACAGCACTGAAAAACACAGTAATTTTAGTGCCATCCTCTCCCTCAGCCATTAGCCTCACTGAGACTAGCCACACCTGCAGCTCCATGACCAGGAACCAGGAGAACAATGTGTCTTGAAGAGACAGCACTGAAAAACACAGTAATTTTAGTGCCATCCTCTCCCTCAGCCATTAACCTCACTGAGACTAGCCACACCTGCAGCTCCATGACCAGGAACCAGGAGAACAATGTGTCTTGAAGAGACAGCACTGAAGAATGCAGTTATTTTAGAATAAATATCAAGAATTTACACTAAGAATGAGTAATTGTGGATTGACCCTAGAAAAAACGATTCAATTGTAAAATTCAACAAATTATGTGATAATTTTTCTATTTCTTTTGCATGGAAAAACTGAAACAATGGAAGTTGTTGTTGTTTCAGTTCCATGGAACTGAAACAACTTATGATTTAATACTTGAAAAGGTGTGTTGGAATATAGCTTAAGAAAAGGACTGTTTCATCAATGTATAGTTTAAAATATTCATCAATCAAACAGAAGTGGAAGTTGACACTTTATCATTATAAATGTATGTGTCAATACAACACCTTATTTGTAACTAAAAAGGGAAAATTTTGAAAATACAGCATATTTTCAAACAGAAAACTAAACTGACAAACTTGTACAGTTCTTATCCTATAAAATTTAGAATCAATAGTTTTTTCTTAGGTTGTCAGTTCTTAATACTTAGGTTTTAATATTTTTCAAATATATATTTATATTTAGATTTTCACTAATCATTGCTTTGCATTCTATATAACTTTTTAAACTGATGATGAAGCTGGAGTCCGAAACATTTACAATGATGATAAGGTGAATTTAGATTGCATTCAAACTTTTGCAGATGTAGGATTTTATTTTAGAGTATAAACCTATAAAATAGTGAACTAAGAAAACCCACCTTTAAAAAACAGAAGAATATCTGTATTTTGGGAGATGTTTGAGTAAAGATCATAGCCACATCTGAGGAGCATACTTTGAGATCTCTTTTTGCTTGAAAATATCTTTGACAAAAATCCTTTTCCATCCTTGAACTGGTCAGGTGACTTGGAAAACAAATGATTGGAGCTGCTGTGGAAAGTACGCTCACATTGAGACACATGTGCCTGTAGATTGCATAAAGCAGTGCCACAACCTAGTGGGTAATTTTGAAATTTTGCTACCAGATTTTTATTATGGTTTAAAAGAAGACATGTTGAATTAAATAAAATAGATGCATATGCTTCAGTTGGAGTGAAGTAGAAATTGGAAGGAAATGTTCTTAGTTTCATCCTTGAAAAGTTCATATTGTTGGCTTTCTAATTATCACTCTTTCAGAAAGATGTAAGCTCAATAATCACGTGAATCTAAGCAATCAAACTTCATGATTTATGATTGTCAATAGAACCATATTTTTGGTACTGTAAGTAAAAAAAATTTATTAAGTACCTGGAAATGTTCATGCACAGCAGCATTAGTCATAACTCAACTATTGGAAGTACGGTAGTAATAATAACAATAATAAATGTAAGAACCTATTTAGGTACCGGTACCCCAAAAGGATAAAATTGATTGGTCATTTCACAGGTAATTTTTTAATGCTGCTGGCAAAAATGTGCCATATTAATATTTTTTTGCAGGAGAAATGGGCAAAGGGATATTTATACAATTCTGAACTTATTAGCAATCATAAGCATTTTTAGCGCATTTTCTCATTTATGGAAAAAATGCACTATTGTGCTCGCCATGTCCATCCGTCCGTCCGTCTGTCTGTCTGTCCATGAACTCAAGTTTTCGTCGATGAGAAAATGCGCTCTCTGTCACTCACTGCAGTGAGTACTGAGTTATATTTTTTTCTTATTCATTCTAATCCAAAACAGGCTGGAAAAATCCTATTTTTGTCTGAAATATCATGGCTCTAATATCATATAATTTCAGTGGGTATGAAATCTTGCAGCTCAAAAGTCATAAATTTTTGCTTGATTGAAAAATTCATGGTTTGCTTTTTGCAAACATGTCATTTCATAACATTTTTCACATCCGCAATTCACATTACTTTACCATTCCCGCAAAAACATCCTGCAGAATGTAACCATCATAATGTAAACAAGTCAAGCTAAACTTTTTGTTGAGGTCATTTCAGACTGCATTAACATATTTTCAGCTTACAGTAAAGGCAAATGTTATTGTTGTTGCCGTTTGACTGTATTAAGAGTTAAATTAGAGACTTGGGATGCATGGATTTTGTAAATAAATTTGAACCTTGTAAATGGTTTTTCATGGCTGAGATATAGAATTCATGGCTTGAAAAAATGAAATCACGGCTAGAAGAAATGGAATCATGGCTGGCAAATCCATACAACCACAGCTCAAGAAATTTAGTTGCAGCTCACCAAGTAGATATATTCCATGCTTGATCCAAAATAGGCTTTGTTTTTGTTTGTTTTAATCTTAGGATTCAACAAGTCTTACTTTATTTAGCCTATTTATAATCTAAACTATGCAATTTAATGAATTCCTATAGCTAAACATGATTCAATTTCAATTGAGTTTTTTATATTTTAAAAATAAAATTCAAAAAATTAATTTTTTATTATTTGATAATAAAATTGGAAATTAATTGTACATGTGTAAAAGTAATTTTTAAATGCATATTATTTCACTTGCAGTTGATGAAAATCACCTATAAATATTCATTTTCACCCATTAATACAGAAAATCTAAAATCTCTGCCTGACTTTTTTACATTGGGGCATCAGCCATCAGATCTGGATGCGGAGCAGCGGACAAAGCACTAGCTAGGCCTAATAGCTAGCAGCAGCCAGCTGACTGGGTGCCAGTAATTCACAGATTTGCAGTCACACTCACAAGTGACCACAACTCAGCAACAAAAAGTTTCTAGATGCAGCCCCGCCACACCACTCTCCCTCAGCTAATTACACTAATCCGTAGGCTAATTAGATATTTTCCCCATTTTTTGGAGCTGCAAAATTCCTGCTAGATGAATTATATAGTTTGTATCTCATTCAGACTCATTGTAAAACAAGGGTGCAAAAACTTATATAAAAATTTCAATCCTGACTGCTGAGCCTGCCTGCCCCAATTCCAAACACCATAGCCATAGGCCCTAGCCCCTAAGAGGCTAAGTGCCTAAGCCTAACCACAACCAGTAACCTGGAATTTTCAATTTGGATCTCCTTAAAATCCAAAATCAGCCAAATCAAGTACTAGATTCTGTTAATCTGTTATAATTGTCAAGCAAAGCCAATGCAAATGGGCAGCAAAAGGCCCATAAAGCATTGAAAGCAAAGGCTGCAAAGTGCAAAGATAACTCTCTGCGCCAATCTTGGTACTCTGAACTTTAACCACTGGGCCACCCTGCCACACAATCAAAATGGGGATTGGGGTACATTATGTTATTAACTTAAGTATTGTGATGGGGTTATGTTATGTTTCGAAAGTAGCAAGTAGGCCTAGCAACATTCATTTTCAAGTAAAGAGAAACATTGAATAGTGAATTTTGTTGGACAAAAGTACATAATACACATACACGTAAATACAAATAGGATACAACACAAAAATGTCGAGACAGAAAGTCCTCCACAAACAATATCAATTTTACTTTGCCTAAAAAAGAAGAGTTCTCAGTTCAGAACAAATTCTCCAACGAAGTCTTCTTCTTCTTCTATTTGTAGTTGAAGGAGCTCTGGAGACGCGTCCAAGGTAGCCCCTCGACAGGACGGTGATTTACGGGGGTTGCGTAACTGTGGGCAAAAATTCAGAGATAAGACACTTCAGAGTGCAGAGTTACTACGAGAATATTGCTACTGGAAAGGGCAAATGCTGCATTTAAATGAATGAGGTTTTGTAGAGCACTTGTTGATGGAATGTGGGACGTATGAGAGAGAGCGTCAGTCTATGATTGAGGTGATTCTGAATGAGAGAGGTGAGACTAACGAGGTGGGGCATGAGAGAACAAACGATGAGTGGATGGCAATAATTACGGGTCTGTCTGAGGGAGCAACTGCGGCTGTTTGAGAGTGTGAAGAGATATTTGGAAAACGTGTGGAGGATGAGGGAGAGGAGGAGGATGATAAGAGTGGAGTCTTGAGGAATGGAGGGTTGAGAGAGGGGAGGGTGGGAAGACGTGTGAACGTGCCGAATTGTTTTGGTACGTGGTTTTAATTTTTTTGCAATTGTCAAATTTTTATATTTTTTCTTAGGACAGCTGTGAATATGGTATATTTGAACTTTTTTGTTAACATAAGAGTGTGAACTTTTAATTTTTTTGATGCTAGTAAAAGTTTTTTAGGCAGCGTGTATGACCGATTTAAAGGTCGTGACCGTAGGTCACCACGCACCCCAATTCCAATTCCAAATAGTTCGTCATTACTCAGCGTAAATGGCTTTTCATTAAAAATTACCTGGCAACGCATCTTTAAAATGGCCGGCGATGCTTTGGGCTTAAAAATCCATATATTGGCGACGCTGCATCCACCCTCTGCATAGTGGGCAGCGCGATCTGCTGTCTCATTGCCGGATATTCCTTTATGTCCAGGAATGTATTGGATATATACTTCATGAGAGGAGGTTAAAGACATAATTTTGCTCTGAATTAGAAATATTAGGTTAAGGTAGCATGAGGGCTGTCTATTTCTTATGAGATGAATGGATGCTTGTGAATCAGTGAGTATAACAATTTTTTCTGTTGTGAGATTATTCTGAGACCAATGCAAGGCTTCTCGAATGGCAAAAAGCTCCGACTCTATTACTTCTACCTCCGGACGGAGCTTCCAGCTCAGTAGAACACCTTTGGATGGGATGAACAGTGCCGCGGATGTGGAGGGTGTGGGGGTTTTGATCTGCGACGCATCCGTGTAGATTGCTGTTGAGCATAGTGGCAAACCAGAGCTTTTTTAGAATCAGTTCATTTTTAATTTCTTCATTTACTCAAAATTTAAACCAATTTCTTAAGTATGATAATGCTGGTATCCAGGATACTTTACTGGTCTACTTA